AGCCTAAAAATCGCGGTTTCCTCGGTCCATGATTTCTCATGGGGGCGAGACTCTAGACGAGATCCGAGAGCGCTACGCCTCACTCCTGCGCTCGTGTGCCAATTCCAGGGATCTCGCGCGGGGAATCCAGCTGCATTCGCAGATATCCTCCTCGGCACAGCTCCGTGACGATCGATTCCTGGGAAATCTCCTGGTCCACTTGTCGGCAAGATTCCGGATGCTCGATCTCCAAGATCACGATCGCCCGCTGCCCGAGAGATTCACGGTGGTGGTCTTGGGGAAAGATAATGCCAAGCACCAAGAAGCACCCGAGCGCCAAGGCCAGGCGATCCATGGCAAGGAAGAGGGAGCTAGCGCACAGGATCTCGAGGAGTTGGTGGCCCGGCTGGAAGCGCAGAAGGCCCAGATCGATGTGGATCGCACGGACAAGGAGCTCGCGCTGGGCGGAATGGAGGCCTATGTGAAGCGCGCACGGCTAGTGAGGAGGCGGATACTTCTGGAGATGGCGAGGAACAAGGCGGTGGAGAAGAGCGGCAAGCCTTACACTCGAGGAATGAGCTGGGACTACTTCTTCCGCGAGGCAATGGGACGCCAGCAGCGCGATCGCATTGGCCTGGACGATCGATCGCTGGAGTTCCTGTGCCAGAGCGGCAAGGACGTGCAAGATCTTCACGACGCGGTCAAGGAGTTCCCGATCGTGGACGAGGCCGGGGCGGTTTGTGGACAACACGTGTGGAGCGAGCTCTTTACCACCCTCTACGAGCAACGGCCATCGTCTGTGATCTTTGGAGATGTGGATGCTTGAGCTTGCGTTCTCACAGATTTCTATCTTTCCCAGGCAGATCGATCTTCCTGATATCCGCCGGGAGCTTTCTTTTATATCGTGTCTAAACTTCCATGGTTTTGATAGATTGGGCTCTCGCCGAGATGGTGGTCGTCACAGCGGCATTTGGCGATTCGGCTCTCACGATGGAATTCGTCTTCGATGGCGCCATGTACAAGGTGCAGTATGTGGATCCGGCGCTGGCGGTCGATCTTGGCATCGAGGACAGCAATCGGGAGAAATGCCTCGAGGCTGCCGGCGATCGCTTCCAAGGTGCTGGTTTCTCCGGATGACTTGCACGCGTTTGCTTGCGCTGCAGGGAAGTGGGAGCTGGATGATCGAAACGTCCTTCTTGTCACGACCAAGCAGCACTTCCTGGCCAAGGATCTTGCCAAGGCGGAGAGGCAGCTCGCGCTTGCAAAGATCGACCAGGAATGCGAGGAGAGGGTCTTGGAGCTGGTCACCAAGGCACACGACCATCCACCGGTCGTAGAGGATCCAACGCCGGTCGATCTGGAGGCTCTTCATCAGAGAGTTTCCGAGCTGGAGGAAGAAGTCCGCGTGGGGGAGCAAGCGCTCGAGAAATTGGAGGAGAGACTCGCGGCGAGCAAGACAGACATGGAGGTGGGAGACAAGCTGGCGAGGCGTGCACTGCTGGAGGCTGGGAGGCTTACGCGCGACACAGGAGGTGTGATATTCTCGGACAGCGTGGAGAGTCTTCTCGAGGGTAGCCATGCCGAGCTCTACCAGGCGGCCCACGAATGTGGTCGAGATAAGCTCTTGGAGTCATGTGAGGGAGAGGAGAGGTGGCTCACTCTCCATGCTTATGTCTATGATCCCTGAAGCTCGAAGGCTTTGTTTCCAAGTTAAGAAGATTGAAATAAGTGGAACTTAGAGCTGGACAACAATCTCTTGCGGTGCTATTGAATTGCACCTAGGCTCCAATAAAGAACTTGCCTCCAATCTCCACAGCAAAAGGGACCGCGACGCTGCGCTGAAGAGCTTGACCGAGCTTGAGACACTTATGAACTTCTCGCTCCAAGTCGGCCATATCTTGAGCTTCCGATGCCTCCTCGCTGTAGCCGCCTCGCAAGTCCTCGTATCAAGTGCTCTTCACTCGTCTCGGACTTTGCAATGCATGCACCGCCATCTTTTCTGCAGTCTCAAAGGTGAAGATGCTAGCGTGCCAGTTTGGAGCAAGCAAAGACCAGGACTCAAAGGTCGTCCAGTCCATTTTCTTGAACTTGGGAGGAGCTGGCGATTCTACCTGGGCACTCGTTCCATACTTGTACGTTGCTCTCATGACGTCCCAGAGGCTTTAACAATAACGTTCGCTGCTTATGTCGCATTTTTTTTTCCTGTGCGCTTGCATGCTGCTGTGGATTAAGCGCTTCGAGCGCAGATCTGATCAAAAGATGATTGCTCAGAAACATTCCGAGCAAATGATTGAGGCCTGGATTCTGGAGAACATCGAGATGTCAATCAACGCGATGATGGAAACATTCTGCGTCACCACAATGAGTTTGTCATCTGATGGAGCCACGTTTTTCTTATTTGTTATTGTCTTGCCTCTGGCAATCTCACTGTTTTGTTTTGTAATCGTAGCAACTGAATTCTTGGACCAGCTCTGTGATCTTTCAAGCTATCTTCCGATGAGCCTTGCATTCCGTGTGCTGCGCTCCGTCCACGTAGAGGAGGAGGCGTCTTTGTTTTGAATTTTGTTGTTTCCTTTCTGAAGATTATAGATCGAATGAGCAAGCTCTACATCAAATAGATCTTTACGGGCTTATTCGGCGCAAGGAATGATCATTCTAAGATAAGTCTAAAGTAACGACCGATATTCTTTTGTGGGATGCGTTCAGGTCGATGTTATTTCTCTGGGCCAGAGTTGCGGACCCAAGAGCAATGCGGGCCTTCGGCGCCCGTTGATTGCATCATCTGCCAGCTCCTTTGCAATCTGAGAGGGGGTTCACCCAACGAGGGTGGCCAAAGGGTCGTCTACTGCCGCCACCAGGTCTCGATGTTGCTGTTGGAGTGATCAGGTCAAATTTTTGCTTGGCAACGTTTTAGGTGTGTCTCATTCGCCATGCACTGTGGGCGAGGTTGATGCAAGAAAATTTGCCATGCATTTCTCTCTTTCCGGCGATGGCTTCCACACCAGAAAACCAGCTGCTCGAGATCTACGCATGGAGGCATCCAGAGTTGCCCCCAATTTCTCTGTCCAGTAGTCTCAAGAAGCTGCATTTTGTACACTCCCTATATTATATATTATAATACTTTTTTCTTTTTTTCTTTTTTCTTGTTTACTTTGGTTTGTTATCTCCTGTACCGGAGTTCGATTGGTTGATTTCTTTCTGTATAGCATCCTGAAAAGCCTTACCCCTATCCAATAGTGACTTCAACCATTTGCTTCTGTTTTTGTCCTCGTCAGTTTTTGACGATGCAAGTTCTGCAACTTCTCCACTTGATGTTGTGTGCCATTGTTTGCAAATCTCCAGTGCGGGCTTCTTCAGATCTCTGTCGATTGCCATGAGCTCCCAAATACCCACCAGATCTTTCAGCTGGTCGATATCCTTGTCAATGAAGGCCCATGCAGCATGATCAGCATCCAGCTTCTTCAGAAATTCGTCCTTGGCCTCGACTGATGTTGCTCCCCAAACACGGACTGTTACTTTCGATGTTTCAAACTGAAGGCTTGAGTTGGCAAACTCGTAGGACTCGGTATCAGAGAATTGTGAAAACGTACCCTCAGCTTTGCCATCGAAAAATGGCGAGCTGTAACTAACTTCACCTGAGATTTCCAGCTTGCATAATCCTCTGCGCATCAGCAAGCATGCATTGGTCTCATGGCTGCTGGTGACGTTCACCTCCCTAAAGAGCACGCCACCAACATGGTACAAACCGGCATACACATGAGAGCTGTATTTCTCCAAGAAAGTTGTCGCCTCAGTAGCGCTGGTAACACGTCGAGCATCTGCCTTGGCTTCATCAGTCAGGGTCATTTGGAGTTGAGGGATCTGAAAGCACTTCATGGGGACATACAAAGACTCGGTGACGATGACCGTGCGAACTTTTTTGTGCATTTCTTTCTTGTGTTTCTCCTTCTCCTCTTCGGAGTAATCACCCTGCAGCTTCATGGTCAATTTACCCAAACTCACCCCGACCTTTGTCGCAAGAGTCCATCCTTGAGTGCTGAGCTTCTCTTGAAATGTATTGTAATCCTCAATGCTGGAGAACTTCAACGTCTCGGTCTTCTGTGGATCCACCGGGCCCCTGATTGCTGGGGACCTGAAGGACGTGCGTGCTAAGCACTGGCCCAGGCTCTTTGCCACTCACTTTGAAACCACGGAGAGCCCGCCCACCACTGGCAGTGGCCAGAACACTTTCATTGGTCAGACTTGAATCATTCTTGCTAGCCATGACCAAAGGAGGAGGATAGTATGTAGAAGGAAAAGAGAAAATGGTACAAATATGCGAGCAAGAGTCAGTAGCCACCCACTAAGAAACGTTCTTCTCTAGAAAACAAAAGACTGCGAAACTCAGATGTATGCAGTTTGACTGGCATGAGAAACCCCATTTATATGGTTAGAGAAACAAGTAGCCGGTGTGCTTTACTTGAGACTTGCAATTGGGATCTCTATAAATGCAAGCACTCCTTTTATAAATGGACAGAACGCATTGTTAATATTGCGACAGGTCCAGGACGTTCAGACGTCTTGTATCAAACATCATCCAAAGAAGGCTGAGTTCTAAGTATCGAAATTCTAAACAGAATATGGATTCGCACAACTGAGATGGGTGACATAACTTTCTCTGGGTAGAATCTAGTCACCGCAATTTCTTTGACTTTTAGTTAACTGTGTTTGACTGGAAAGAAGGGAGAATTGAAAGGAAGGGCATTTGCATAAAAGAATTGCCTCACAGCCACATTTACCTCTACGGTACTCTGTTTCACCCACAGCTTTGGAATCCTACTCTCTGATGCAGAGTGAACACTCTCCTTCCCTGCCCCATAGTTCTGACCGCCACCAATGACCTCACATTTCTCCGCACCAGCAGTTGCCCCTTCTGGGCAATGCTGGGAGTGCCAACATGCATTGTTGGATCCATTGAACCTGGTTTTAATGCACCATCCTTGGCATCTTGGCATCTGGACGTGCTCCCATTCTGCGTCCATTTCTAATCTCCAAAATGCCTCTGTGTGCGCTCAGAAAAGAGGGCAACGTATAATGTAAATAAGCTTTGTTTGCGAGAAACTTCTCCGGATGTGGTATCCGCGCCTCCAACGTCGAAGCTAGATCACCAGGTACGAGTGTGGGAAAGTGCTCTTTGTTCTTGTTCTTATCATTCCGGCTTTGTAGATTGCAACGGGAATAAGCGTCGGATGTTTCTTTCCGTCGCTGGCTGCTCGAATCACAAGCTCTAGAGAGTACTATTATCACACACAGGTCCCAACATCAACTCTATTTTTTTGAAGAACAAGCCAGGTCTGGCTCTCGCTCTTTTTTCCTTTTACAAGTTCACATAATCACTTATACTTACATTTCGTGTTCTTGGCGCCCGAGTAACTGTTTTTATCTCAAATCGGTGTCTGACACCTTTGATCGAGTCAAGTTTCTCTGTGCGGAATGTTTACCTACTGTTTTTTTGCTTGTGAGCTAACTATTGTGTTCTACCAACTCAGCGGTTTCCCTTTCGCGCGAAACTGCACAGGTCTTTGTCAAAATTTTAAGTTGCTTTCTCTCACAGTAGCCTCACAGTACTTTAATCTTTATGCTGCAGTCAGGAACTCAGGAAGGACCAGCGCACTGAAGCCTGAGTACACATTATAGTCATATGTTGAGAAGCTGTTGCTGATGCCCTTTCTTCCAACAACTTGAAGAATTTGTGCGCCATCCCTCGTCACTTTGGCACTTTGCTGGCCTTCTTGGAACGGCATGGACACAGTCGTCACGCCTGCTTCAACAGGAAAGCTCTGTGTTGAACCTCCTGACTGCACCTCAACGCTGGCTGGGGACTTGAGCTTGGTGACCACATAAACACGATCATCCAACACATTCGCGTTCTGAGGCTTGCAAGGATCGTTCGTCGCAGTGACTTTGGCGCTCTGCGAGTAGTAGAAGATGAAGACGGAGTCATCGGTGATTGAAGGCTGCTGCCCGGTCTTATACCAGCTTATGTAGTACGAGCCCAGCTCCAGGAACGCTTCGTGAGGAAAGTCCTGGTCGTTGGACTGCTGAGGTCCCCAATTCGGATTGTTCATTTTTGCAACATAGGTCCTCTCGACCCAGTCATTCCAGGTAACTATTTCTACAAAATCTGGTTGGTCTTTTATGATCTGCTCCCACCGTTTTATCCAGAGACCGGATCCCTGATAGTTCCCCTTCACCTGGCATCCACAGCTGGTCTGGTCCTTCGGAGTTGTACAGACATCGTTGCAGCATCCGTCGTGCTTGAAGAACCAGGGGCTGACGCTCGCCATATACGACTTCCCAGCGTTCTTGCAAGCTCGAAGATACGCTTGATCTTTATCGTTGGAAGGAGAATTGAAGTTGTCCGCGCTGGAATAAGGCCAAGCCGAAGTATCCCAGGCATAAAGACCATCGATCAGCGAGTTGAACTTATTGATCATGCTGGTCACCTCCTGCTCGGTACCGCCGGTTGGAAAGAAAGTTACAAAGTAGTACTTGTCACGTCCACCAATCTGATCGAACACCGCCTTGTTCCAGCCCTCAAGCGCGTTGGAGTAGCCATCAAACACAGTGTCCTCGTTGCCGAGCCAAGTAGATACAAACTGCTTACCGTTATAGGAGTACTGGCTGGCCCTGCTCGAGTAGCGGGTAATCATCTCTTTGACATTCTCCGCAGTGAGGTGCGTGTTGTCCCTGTGCATGTCGAGCGAGAAGAAGATTTTGAAGCCAAGCTCGTCGGCAGCCTGGTAGATCCCGTCAGCGCGGGTCTTGTACACGTCCTCCCAGCTATTTGTGTTGAGCGCAAATGCATCAATCCCCTTGGACTTGGCGTACTGAATCTCGGCCTTGTAGCCATCCAGATTATCGGGACCTGAAGGAGCGTAGAGCATGTAGTGAGCGAAGACAGGACGATTGGCATGACACTGGAAGCAGAATGACAGCAGGAGCAATGTCAGGGAGATGAGGCCATTCTGAAAACCCCTCATTTTCATCTTCAATTTGGGATCGAACGCCTGTGTGTAAATAGTCTTGGGAGTTCTCCGCGTGTACGCTACGGAGCAGCGGCAAGAGGACGTTTTCGCACGTCAGCACAGGTATTTCTTTGACTTCGACAATGTTAGCATGTTCTAGGAAACTTCGGGATTGGATTGCAGCAAAGAACATCTTTTAATATTTTGAATATGGCAGCCTGAAATTCAAGTTGAGAATCTGACGCCTTGGAACTCTACTCAGTGGTGATGATCGACAAGGATGGATCAAAATTTTGAGTTTTCAAAGTATACATACATCCATAATTGGCTTGCTAATGTTCCGGCTCATGTTAACAGTTCCAGACTCGAGTTTCCACAATTTAATGGTTGACCCAACCATTAAATTTAGTTTCTTTAAGGTTAGGGCTGGCTGCCGAGTTTGAAAGTGGATTTAGCAACCAATTTGCCCACCCCTTTGAATGCAGACTACTCAACTTTCATAACCAACTTTCCTCATTTACAGCTTTTTAAATTATAATTTATAAAGGTTTAAAAAACATTATTTTATTTTAAACAAAGTAAAGGAAAATAGGGAACAAAATATTTTAAGTGAATATCTAAAAAATATGACTCTTACAGATTTACAGGGGGCAAAAAGAAGATTCACAATGGTTACATGAGGGGTGGACCAATTCTACATTGATGAGAATGGGAAGGTGGCTAGGTGAAAGTGAAGCAGGCTGATTATGGCCTAACTGACATAACACAGGTCCTTACCTTGGACTTACACATGAATGTGGAGGATGTGGACAGAGGTGAATTTGGTGGATGCTGTGCTGGAACAGAATAAGAAGGCTGAAAATAATGCTGGAATCACGAGAGGGTGTAAGCAGGTACGGTGGAAGAAGCAGATTGAGAAGCATCCTCAACAGCTATGAGGAACCCTTTTTTCTGGCCAATTTTGTTGGGGCCCCATCAAACAATTATTCATAATAATTTGCACATAATATATTGCAAGGAAGAATAATATACTTATAGTTAAACACACTAGAGTGGCTGAAAAATTGTACTTGGTAATGACAAATATACTCAGTAAAAAAAAAAAAAAAAACTCTTTGACCCAATGACCACTAAAAAAGCGCACGGGAATATCTAGACCTGAATTTAAATTATATGACATTTACATTTTAATAATGTTTATGTCCCAAGAGCCTCTATCAATTGGCAAAAAAAAAAAAAAAATCAAGAAAAATATACTCAATCAACAAAGATAAATTCAATAAAAAATTCTATTCTTTGGCCCGGTGACGACCTGGTTTTGGCCACTAAAAAGAGCACACTCCTCAACTGTTCAAAATTGGTTTGATATGCCCTGTGGGAACCAAGTTATCTTGAAGGTGAATGGCCTTGAAGCGTTTTAAATTAGGCCTCTTTTCGGGGACGAACTCTTCAATCAATCTGCTGGCGGAAACCATGGAGCATGGCCCGCTTCTGGATCCTGTCTGCTGGTCAAGCAGCGAGTGTCAACCAGATGTTCCTTAGGGAGTTCAAGGCTTGATTATATGTAGTGACTTTTTACTAGTTTTCGGGTGTCCAAAATTATCTCAATGGTTTCAAGTTTTAGGGCTCTTGTTAATTTGGACAGGTATGGGGTGGGAGCGGCAGCTGCTTGAATGCATAGATATCTCTTCGCCGGATGTGAAGAGCCTGGCTCTGCAGCTCAGAAAGGTGAGTTAAGCTGTCGATCTTCGCATTTCGATGCATTTGGATTCTTGTCCAGGCATGCTTGGAAACTGGGTTCTTCTACGTTATCAACCACGGGATCGGCGAAGCCTTCATGGAGGAGGTGTTTAATCAGACCCGGAAGTTCTTCGAGCTTCCCTTGGAAGAGAAAACGAAGGTGCTACAGGACAAGAGAAATCGGGGCTATACCCCCTACAGCGAGGAGAAACTCGATCCTGTCAAGCAAATTGCTGGTATGGAAACTTGTGGCATGTTGGCTCCAAAATTTAAATTTGGATGTGCAGGGGATTCGAAGGAAGGCTATTATATCGGCCGTGAAATCCCGGAAACTGATCCTAGAGCAAACGAGCCTTACCAAGGACCAAATCAGTGGCCTTCACCAGGTTTGGCTATGGTTTTGAAACTATGCCTGCTGTAACTTACCATGTTATGCTCACCAGAGTTACTACCAGGATGGAGGCAAACAATGGAGAAGTACTTTCAAGAGGTCGAGTAAGTCATATCTCCTGCCATTTTCAAACGTGTTTTTTTTTTTTTTTTTTTTTTTTTTTTTCAGGAATTTATCTAGGCGGCTCATAAAACTCATTGCGATCTCTCTGGATTTGGATAAGACTTTCTTTGATAAACCAGGGATGTTTGATCATCCAATGGCACTGTTGCGGTTGCTTCACTATCCAGGTACCGGAAGAATCACTGACGAAGAAGAATAACTACTTTTGGTACACATTCAGCTGGAGTTACGAATCCAGAGAAGGGAGAGTTTGGTGCTGGCGCTCATAGTGACTATGGGATGCTTACGCTTCTTGCGACTGATAGTGTTCCTGGTCTTCAGGTAATGAGCCAGAAACACTGGTGAGGTTTTCGATCCTGATAGTTTGATAGATTTGCAAAGAGAAAGATGCCAAAAAGCAAGTGTGGGAGGACGTACAACCGATCAAAGGGTATGTTTCAGAATTATGAGAGTTGTTCTCGTCTGATGTACACTGCAGAGCTTTCATAGTAAACCTGGGAGATATGCTCGAACGATGGACGAACAATCTATACAGGTTAGAGATTCTGCTGCAAAATTAAAATAATGTTGACGTTCATGGCATCGAAGGTCAACTCTGCACCGCGTTCTGAACCATGGAGAAGAGCGCTACTCGGTAAGCATGACGAACGCCTTTGTTGTTAGTGTGATTCTAGTAGGAACAAACACAGATACCTTTCTTCATGGAGCCAAATTTTGACTGCATTGTGGAGTGCCTGCCAACCTGCTGCAGCCCGTCCAATCCGCCAAAGTGAGTCCATCTTAAATTGAAATCAGCAGACTCATACCTGACTGCCGGCTTCTTCGTACAGATATCCTCCCATCAAGAGCGGTGATCACCTCACATACCGTTACCAGATTACTCACAAAGGCTTGGATGCAAACGCTAAGGAAAGTGTTCCCCAACCTGTCCACTAGGACGATGGCAATGTAATGTGTATGGTGCCTTCATCTTCGTGAGTTGTCCAAAAAAAAATCGTGCTGAGCTTGGCTCGTATATGGTAGGCGTCAGAGCGTTGCCGGTAAGTATCTGAAATTATGAGGCCTCGGAGATGACTTTGCCGGCTTTCTTGATGTTTTCCAGCGCCTCGAGCATCTCTGAGTTCTTTGTCCTCATAAATACTTCATGCAGCAGGTCATAAACGCCAGCGGTGAACGGACAGAGCATGTAGTTGAAAACCTCCGAGATCTCTGACAGTCGGTTCATTCGCTCGTAGGCTCTGATCATAGTCTCGTACACACCAGGCGTTCTGTTGATTCCTTTGTCGAGGATTGCGGTGAAGAAATTGATTCACGACTCGTAATAGCCAGCTTTGAAACACACCTCCAACAACAGCACGTAGACGCTGCCTCTGATCCAACAAGATCTGTCCATCTCCTTGAAGACTGAAATGGTATCATCCCAACGTTCAGCCTCCGCGAAGGCTTTGATCAACGTGATAAAGAACTGCTCGCCGAGCTTAACAGTTTCGTGGTCCACAGTTTTCAGCAGCTCCAAGGCTTCGTCGTAATGGCAGGCCCTGCAGTAAAGGCCCAGCATGATCACATATGTTGCTTCATTAGGCCGGCTCCAGCTGCTCAGCTTTCACGTAGGATTGCGACAGGCAATTGTAGAGGAAAACATCCGGCTCAATATCACGATCCTTCATGACTTTGAACAGTGCTTCTGCTTCCTCAGGCTGACCTGCCCTGGCGCAAGGTGGTGTAGGCCAATGCCCTGAATCTTCATTTTAGTAAGCAGGACCTTTAGAATTTTGGTGTCGCTCAAGTCTTTGCAGATCGAAAAGAGCGCTGATGCAAACGTGTGAAACAACCGGTTCGACTTGCACGGGGTGGATGCAAGAATGCAGAACAAGGTGCTTCCACCACAAGCACCACTCACTCAGTTCGACGCGGGCCTTCTGGTATTCTATGTTTAGAAGTCTTATGATCTCAGAGAATGCATTTGTTTTTCATTCAGGATCACATCCATGATTGAGTTGTTTGAACTGTTGAATGCGGCATAGCTGACTTTCTCTTAATAATCATCATTGCTTGAGTTGGAAAAAAAAAGTCACCTTGTGAGGGTCGAACACATTACCATGGATGCCTAATTTGGGAGGTGAAATCAAGTAAAAAAAAGGGGCAATATTTTGGAGAGGCAACTAGGGGATGCAATTGGAGATGGTGGGGATTTGTAATAGTATGGAGAGGGTGGAGGAGATGGTGGGGATTTGTAATAGTATGGAGAGGGTGGAGGAGATGCAACAGGAGGAGAATATAACTGCATCCTATCTGCAGCCTTTGATATATAAGTGTTGGTTGCGCTCCATGTTCTCCAAGTTTCTCAGCATGAATTTGCGAAAAACCACATCTCTCCTTGTTGTGATGGCGCTATGCTTGTGTTTCGTTGCTTCTTGTGGGGTATGGGTAAGGTATACAGAGAGGCCTCGACTAGGCCCCAGGCTAGCGCACTGATTTATCAGGTTCGGAGAATTCTACAAGGTGTTCTTAATCAGTCCCCGAACTTCAACACTGGTGAGCTGATTGTAGATGATCTTCCCATAATTGACGCGGTACATGTCGTCAAGATTAAGGTTTGGGTGTTGAACACTGTCTCATGTTCACCTACCGTCCTGGGGAGAACCACTGTACCAGGGAGTTCGTCGCCTCTCCTTGCAGCTATGTGGGAAGCAGCCGAGACCGGTGGATATGGTGGCATTACAGGCACCAATCAGTACTTGGAGATTCAGTGTATTCAAACTGATGGCGCCAGTACTGGTGCACAGCCAAGTGCGCCTATACCTGCACTCCCCACACCTGATGCTGCTGCACAAAGGAACTGGGACTGTCACGCCCACTATAATACCATGTTCAGCAAGGTCAATTATAAGGACAAGTATGAGGCTGGGACGTTCCTACCTTCTGGTTATTCTCTCACGGCATCAAGGAGATTGTACCAGTTGATCATGCAGTCCGATTGCTCTACGATGACTCTCGAGTGGCTCTGTGGTCAAGCGACACCTGGCGGCCAGGCACCAAGTGTTATGGCGTGTTGGCTGTTTACAGGCAAGATAATCCCGTTCCAGCATGGCAATCAATACAGAGGCAAGCTATGCAGCACCTCTCCATACAAACCTTTTTATACTGAACCAATTACTCACACATATAAAAAACAAATAATACTTTCTAAAAAAATTCAAATTAAAAGTATTCTCTATAATTTTAAATCTTAAAGATTCTGATACATATACTTTATAAGTTAATGAAGGTAATTCTTTCATACATCTTAAATTTTGAAGTTAAAAATGAAGCATAATGAGTTCAAAGAAATACCTAGTGTAAGGGCCAAATGTACAGCTACGATGCCATATACTAATATTAGCGTAATAGGATTTTGGTAGTTGTCGGATTGGTTTCAATCCAGACCACTCACTCCTATATATAAGCTAAGGTTTTTGGGTTAATTGATATGCACATTTCTGTATTCCCTTCCCATATTCCATGCACTCACATTGGTGGAGGTGAGGGGCACTTTTGATTGTCCCTGGGGAGTGCTTGGATTTGGGATTTTGGTTTAGATCTAGCTTTTGCATCGTCTAGATCTAACTTTTTCCATTTCCTTTCTTTTGTTATTTCCTTTCAGGATTTTGGTTTAGATTTAGCTTTTTGCATTGTCTAGATCTACCATTTCTTTCCAACTTTTTGTCATTTCTCTTCTTTTGCTCTTTCTTTTTCATTCATCTTCATGATCAATCCGCAATCTCCTCTTTTGACTCTAGAGCAGTAGTTGGTTCAATTGCTTGATGCTATGCGCTTGCAATTAAACAAACAAACTCAATTGATGGCGGCATTCATGGCATGTGGTCCAACTCCTCCTGCTCTTGGTGCCAATCCTCGCGTTTAGCTGGAGTTCTTTCGTGGGAATCCTGGGGATGATGTGTACCATTGGTTCGATCACTTCACAGTGATTGCCACATATCATTCTTGGGATAATGCTCAACGTTTGTGTGAGTTTCCCATGTGTCTCCAAGGGACGGCATTGCAGTGGTACAATGGATTGAGTGCGGCCACTCGTGGGGATTGGATTGTTCTTCCGGATGTCTTCAAATACGCCTTTAGACATGCTGACGATTGTGACGATGCCTTCCAACAATTGTATCGTCTTTACCAAGAGCAATCTGAGTCGGTGATGCAATTTGGCGTTCGTTTCCGAAGTCTTTTGCTTCATGCGGAGCCTAATATGTCGGAGCGGATCAAGCTAGGAATGTTGTGACCAGCACTTCGTCAAGATCTTGTCGGCCTTGTGTATGCACTTGCTCCTGCCACCCTTGACAATGCTTTTCACTTGGCATAATGTTATGAGACGTCACCTCTTCCACTTCTTGCTACACGTCTTTCAACTCCATTTCCTATGAGTGATGGTCCTGTTCCAATGGAGGTTGATGCTGTTGCTACTCGAGTCCACAGACAAGGGCGCGGACGTGGTCGTGGCCGTGATGTTCGTTGCTGGGCGTGTGATGAAGTTGGTCATACTTATCGATGTTGTCGACGCTTTCCGGATTGGCGACCTCCATTTCCTGGATGGAGACCTTGGCGTCAGCAATGTCCTGTTGGTGCTGCTGCGGTGGAAGGTTTGGACACCGAGGTGCATATGGGAAATGAGGAGTTGCATGAGTAACGGAGGGACCTTGCGCGAATAAGTTAGTGACCCTTCCATCTTTCTTTTGAGAGTATCATCAAGGGGTTCACTCGGCACCGGTTCATCCAGTGTTTACTTTCCAAGCTCGTTTTTATAACAAGAGGTCTCCTATTCTTCTCTCTGTGTTGGTTGATATAGGTTCAAGTTTATCTTCTATTGCTCGACCTGTTGCCACATGTTGTTGTCTACACTTGCGTCGTGCGGCAAATCCAGTTTTCATTCTTTATGGCAGCAGACATCATTATAATGATAATTTAGTATATGTTTTTATGTTACCAGAGATCAGGACTTAGATAATTTGGTGGAGGAAAAAGAAGAGGAGTTGGAACAGCAGGAACACAAGTTTAATATGGACCCGAATTCTTGTTGATACTATAAGTACTTAGAGGTAAGAGAGTTATGCTAGATCAATCGGTAGCTGGTAATTCACCACCACAATATGGAAGTGGTATATAGATTGCCAATAAAAAAATAATTAAAGTTAATGGTTATGGCTAGTCAATATGGCTAAGGCCATACTCCAACTTTAGGACAACCCAAGTAGAATGGCAATGGCTGTACACATGTATGTGCACGAGATGAGGCGGATCTGGTTGTGCATGTGGGTGATCTCGAGCTTGAGTTGCAGTCGTTGCAGGTGGTGCCGAGTCAAGCTTTTGACCTCATTCTTGGTATGGATTGGTTGTAGCGCAATCATGCCAAGTGTGACTTTGAGGCTTCTCCCCCTTGTCTCATACTTCCTTATGTTTCATTCATTCCTCTCACTTCTATACCTCTTCGTCCCTTTACTTCTACCTCTGCTTCTATTACTTTTGTTTTCCCACTATTTCCTCCTATGTTTCCATCTTGTTCTGCTCTTCCCTTTTCCGATCCCTCCGAAGATCTTTGTGTTGCAGTTGTTGATCGGCTCATGAAGGAGTATTCTAATCTCTTTGAATTTGACCTATCTTCTAGGGCCAAGATTGCCACACGTCATCCGATTCTAACCGGGGATGCTCGTCCAATCAAGGTTCCTGTTCGTCGTCGGTCACCCAAGGAGATCAAGATTTTACGTGCAAACGTCAAGGAGATGTTGGAGAAGGGTGTTATTCAGAAGTCGCGGAGTCCTTGGGCATGTGAACCTCATCTTGTGACGAAGCCTGATGGGAGTATTCGTTTCTGCATCGACTATTGTTCGTTAAATGAAGTGACAATCCCGGATGTGTACCCTCTTCCTCACACGGCTGATCTCTTGGATTGTCTAGGGCGAAGTCGTTGGTTCACCAAGCTCGATCTTGCTTCTGGGTACTGGCAAGTATCGATGGCCGAAGAAGATATTCCTAAGACTGCTTTTTGTACACCATTTGGTTTGTACGAGTTCTTGGTGATGCCGTTTGGTTTGAACAATGCTCTAGCAACTTTCCAGTGGATGATGGACGAGGTTCTTTGTGATATGCCAGAGGTGACTGCTGACTTCATTGATGATGTCTTGATTCACTCGAAGGGGACGTGGGAGGAGCACATTCGTGATGTGTGTAAAGTGTTGGATCGGCTACGGGACGTTGGTTTAAAGCTGAAGCGGTTGAAGTGCGTGTTTGGATCCAAGGATACAACTTATCTTGGGTACTGTATTTCTCGTGAAGGTTTGCAAGTTGATCCTGATAAACTTGTAGCCATTCTAAAGTTCCCTACTCCGAAGTATGTGAATGATGTGTAATGCTTCCTGGGCAAGGTGTAGTATCTTGGTCGTTTTGTGGATCATCTTTCTGATCGCACTGCACTGTTGCGAGCGTTGCTAAAGTCATTAACGTCATCTTTCATCTGGTCTTCAGATTGTGAGCAGTCATTTGTGAATCTCAAAGAGCTGTTAACGACTCCTCCGGTTTTGGCATATCCTGACTACACTCAACCTTTTATTTTGCGCGTAGATGCTTCTGATATTGGTCTTGGAGGTGTGTTGATGCAAGAAAGCCCGAGTGTGCCTGGTCAGCATCATCCCATTGCATATATAATCCGTACGTTACAACCAGCAGAAGTGAACTACTCCACAACAGAGAAGGAGTGTTTAGCGACAGTTTAGGGTTTCAAGAAACTTCATGCATATCTACATGGTTCTCGGACGTTACTTGAAGGTGACAATGCTGCCATTACTTCATTATTGAAGCGGAAGAACCTGGTTGGTCGTATTGCTTGGTGGGCTTTGAAGCTTCAAATATATAATTTTGATGTTGTTCATTGCCCAGGGAGTTTTATGGCTGATGCTGATGCCCTTTCTCGAGCTCCCCTTCCTTCTCCGCTCTCTTCTCATGTTTCTGATGAGCCTGTTGTTCCAGCATCTGTGGATTTTCTAAACGAGGATTCTGTGCCGTTAGTGGTTTCTGTACTTGACTTTTAGTGTCCACAAGGTGCAAAGCAAGATCTACCTTCTCTTGATGAGGTTCGTGAAGCTCAAAAGATTGAGCCGTGGATTCGAAGGCTTCGAGATGCATTTGAGAATCCTGCATCACTTGCTGATGACTTGCCTTTTCGGCATTTACATTCTCAATATCGTCTTGAAGATGGCCTCCTTTATTTTGTGGGGACGGATCCTGATGATCCTTTACGGCTGGTGGTGCCTTCTATCTTTATTCCGCGGTTTCTCCATGCCTACCATAATTCTCATGTTCTAGGTGGGCATATGGGACATCATCGTGTGACCGAGAAGCTGTGCAGGTCTTTCTATTGGCCGGAGATGCGATGTGATGTTATCCGGTATGTGCGTAGTTGTGTTTGGTGCCAAGCTTGTAATACTCCCCCTTGTGCTGCGAAAGGACAGTTGGAGTCAATTGCAGTTTCCTGTCTGTTTGAGTTGGTGGTGTTTAATCTTATGGGACCTTTTCCACGATTGACTGCCGGCAATGAGTATGTTATTATTGCTTCTAACTACTTGACTCGTTAGGTGGAAGTTGGTGCTCTTGCTAGCGCCTCTGCAATTGCTGTTGGATACTTCCTCCTCAATCGAGTAGTGTTCCAACATTCTTGTCCAGAGCGGATTCTTTCAGATAATGGTCCTGCATTTATGGCTGAGGTATTTCATGTTTTGACGTCTCGGTTGGGGATACGCCACACTTTTACGAGTGCTTATCATCCACAATCAGATGGTTTGGTGGAATGGCTCATTCGGACATTCAAAGGGATGATTGCGAAGTATATGAACTTTTAGCATTTGGATTGGGATGGTTATTTGCTGTCTCTTCGGTATGCCTATGTCACAGGGGTGTAGAGTTCTCTTGGTGCTTCACTATATAAACTTCTATATAGTCATAATCCAATATTACCAACAGAGCTGGGTTTACCTTCGCGATTGCCACGAGCTCCTGATGCTAAGTCATGGGATCAATATTTGACAAGCATTCTTCCACTTGTCTGAGTAGAGTCTGCTGAACACTTAGGCCGCGTACAAATGGGACAAAAATGGCACTACAACTCCCATCATCGTCCACCTGCAAAGTACAAAGTGGATGATTTGGTGTTAGTCCGTTTTCCCCATCTTACGGTACGTGGTTTATATAAGGGGCTCTTTGTGCAATGGAAAGGACCGTATCAGGTGTTGCGGCAAGTTGGACCGCAAATTTATAAGGTTCGGCATGACGTTCAGCAAGCCAATCCTCCAGAGATTGTGCATGTGCAGCGGTTGAAGCACTTCATACATAGGGATCAGGAGCAATTAATACTGTCTACAAATTTGCCGATGCCTCCTTTTGACGTTCCTCCAGATCCCGGCCCATTTACAAGAGAACCCTGATGACCTTCCATTATTCCGAGAGGAGGGGATGATGTGAGGGCCAAGTGTATGGCTATGATGCCGTATACTAATATTAGTGTAGTGGGATTTTGGTAGCTGTCGGATTGGTTTCAATCCGGACCACTCGCTCCCATATATAAGCTAGAGTTTTTGGGCTAATTGATATACACATTTCTGTATTCCCTTTCCATATTCCATGCACTCACACCAGAATATTTATAAGATATGTTTACATTATGAGAATGATGGAAAATTCAAGAAACTATAATTCTACAAAGTATTTAAAGAAAATAGCCATTCTCCAATTCTAGTTATTTATGACTTGATGGAAAATGCATGTTTTGAAATTGTAGTCATTCTTATATGTATTTTAATAAAAATATATAAACTTTACTATACAATCCCGATTCCCAACAAAAGCTCAAAAAAGTTTTCATAATACACGTTGCAACTTGCATGTGGTTCAATACTTATGGATGATGCTGCTAAATAGAACTTAACTTGATTGTTGTATTGGCAGCAAGCAGCAAGCAACTGTTATGCTGTGAGTGAGCTCAAGCATGTGAAACCAAATTTGTATGGCAAGCTGTGCAGCGTCCCTTCACGAAGATGGCAGCTTTGTGAACTATAAGTTATTGATGGACTATCTTATGTGAATGCAATTTAGGCTTCCAACACTCTTGGGGAAATGCATGAATTGCTATAATCTGGGATCCACAAACCAAATGACGTTGACTTCACTTCACTTGATCATGAAGAAAAAAACTAAAATCCAGTCTTAGATTCGTGAATGAGTTGCAGCATGCCAACCCTATGATAATCATTATGCTGCAAACTTTTATTTGCAAAGTCAAATGGACAAAAGAAGAAGATAAGGACCTGCTCTTTACACTGCTGGTTTGTGTTTGGATGATGCCCTATCGTTGGAGGAGGTTGTGGCTCAACTTTAAGCCTTACTTTTCAGACCAGTGAGAAGAAAAATTCAATTCAATTATTTGATTTCATCTTTACTGTGTGTAGTAGCACTAAGCTCTGTCTGACATCACTAGAGACACACATCATGCCTTGTGTTTAATATTTTGTTCCGTTCCAAAACCGCTGCCAGAGAGGCGCCATATGTAGCCCGTTCCTTGTTTGCCTCAGTGCAGCTAATGGACAAGGTAACACCTCGAGACACCGGTAGTACTTTGAGAATTGTTCTTGCGTTGCTAATCCACTGCCAAATGGCACTAGCTGCAGTTGCAATGTCAATGCTGAACACGACAACGTTTTGCAGGAAGTCGACAGAAAAACTTAGATTGTCATGGATGCATTGGATGAAGCCGAATGTTCAGTTGGTAATGCAACACCTGGAAACTTGCTATGAGGATTGGATGCTTAGCATAACGGTTGTTTGTAAGCACAAATCATATAATTAATACTCGAATATGGCAGAGAGATTCATGTGGCATGTATATGACAACCCCATGCATTTAGAACTATATTACCACGGATGTTCGAAAGACATTCCCGCTGCATTCCTGAGGATCCACTCCTTAATAGAAAGGCTGGTTGTGAGCTTGTGCTGCACCTTCTTCTCACATTCTCATTGTGCATTTTCATAGTAGAGGAACGATGTCTCTCCTTCTCGTTGCGTCGGTGCTATGCCTGTGGTTTGTGGTTTCTCGCGGGGTGTTTATAAACCCTACAAGGAGACCTGCTGCATTGACTCGGAGCAGGGCCGCTGCGATGATGAATACAGTTGCGGATTTGCTAGGACATTGTATTAGATTCTGGAATGGTCAGAATGGTCGTCGCTCAGCGCTTCATAGCTTATGGTATAAGTACATGGTGAATAGACATGACTGTAGGGTCTGCTGACTAGGCAGATGATGAGGATGAATGCTATGTCATCGATCCTCACTAACCCAGCTACGTGACGGGCGACTTGCTTGTAGACTATCGAGGGATTAAATATCCGGATTAAGGCTGGGGTTTTGAGCGAATATGCGTGTTCAGCTAACCCAGATTGGGGAAGGGAGATACCACTGGATCAGTTGCAGAAACATGCTGCGACTCTCGTGACAGCATTGGGGCAGGAATATGCTAGCATTGCAGAGCAACTTAAGACGTACTAGTAAAAAAGTATGGCCAGAAGCCCAGAAGCACAGCTTCAAACTCATCTGGTCTTAAATACATGAACTCCTCAGGAAAGGCATAACGAAGCAATGCGAACAAGAATGCGGCTGGTGCCATAGACGAAATTCCCACAGTCCATGACGTGCTGTAAGTTGGAGATATTTCTCAAGAGGTTTTCGTGGCTGTAACTCGTTTGGATTTTTGTTTTCTTTGTGGTGGTGGTACAGAATGCCAGCGCAAAGATGCCAATTGATAAGGTGGTGACTCACGAAGATGCTGCAAGGGTTCAAGCCGCGGAGCAGAGGAACAGTGGTGGAGTCGCACAGCGTGGTGGAATTGCAGCGACATTACAGTCCGCTGCGGACAAGAATGCAGCATCCGACTTTGAGCCCCGGGACGGGCAGGCTGGAAGGATTCCAAATGTGTAGAGACTTCAAAATTTTGTTAAGGTTTTGTAAATGAACTGTTCATATTCATTTTTCATGGTCAATAATTTCGGGTTCAAGATGAAATGATTAACTTTCAACTTATGATCCTGATTCAAAACTTTTGACCTGAACTCTCATCAAGCTCGAAAAATTCCCTTATGAAATTTTCATAAGTTTTCTAACCTCCATATGGTCCTGCTTCCATTCTGATGCCAAATTTCATCATTCTCAAGATGGAAGGATAACTTTCGACTTATGCATTCCTGATTCAAAACTCTCGAAAAACATCATATCTGCAGAAGAGGCTTGACAACTTTCAAGTTCATTCCTTTTTTTTCATATTTGTTAACATTTTTTAAGCATGACTAACTTAATCTGACGCTTCTACTCAAATTTGTGCGGACACCAGTGGATTCCTCTCCATATGGTCCTGCTCCCATTCTGATGTCCCGGACTTGTCCTTTACGTCTTGTCACCGCCTTTCCATGCATCATCTGAGGAGCAAGACGAAAACGATGGTGAGCCCTGTGCTAGCATATAATCATCTTACCTTGAATTTCTTCCGTAGATTCTTCGAGGCCTTTTTGCGATATGGTGTTAGTCCACGATTCTTCTCCATCTGTTGAATGCACAGGGAAAACAAATCAAACAATTATGTTAAAGAGGAATGCCATGGCGTTACCTCGGTTTTAATGTGCCTTCTCGTCTCTTGCATGTCAAGTTCTGGTTTTGGAACAGGCTCCCTGCACGACAATTATCAAAATTCCAGAGACTGAACAAGGCTATCAGCTTATTTTTTGTACTTGGCGGCCCTGGCGGCATCCTTGGCGAGTTTGATTGCTTTCGCTTCTTGATAAAACTCATCCTCTCGCTGTGTTTGACCATCATCGTCATCTTCGGATTGTTCAACAGGTGATTCCGCCCGACCAGAGGTCTGGACCTCACGCTTTCTTCTTCTTTCTCCAATGTACTCCTTCACAGGCAGGTCGGTATCGCTTGAAATGATCTGCCAAGCCGCGTTTAGTGACAAGGCGTACTCGTTCTAAACACTCACTTTTGGCTTCTTTTGACGTTTTCCAGCTTCAGCAACAACTCGCGATATGGTTTTCGGCTGCGACTCTTGGTCAAGGGCACCCAAATCATCCTCCAAGTCATCCAGCAGCCCACGGTGCCTGCCATATGAATGTTGATGAAAAAGAAAGGTCTGGTGCTGTAGTCTCACCGTTTCGCCTCACGCCTTTTTCCAGTTTGGAGTTCTGAAACTCTAGTCTGCTCCAGTAACTGCTCACGTCTAGCTTTTTCTTGTAGTCTTTCCATCTCTCTTAGCATGTTTCTGCTTTCTTCTCCGACAAACTGTGGCTGTAAGACAGAATTGTTATATATACGTATTCAGAGATACCTGTTCAGCTGGCTTAGCATTTTGGACGTTGTGCCGCAAATGTTTTGATTTATGGTTTCCATTTGCAGTCGCCTTTGACTCCTGCTGAACTAATTCATTACATATATTTTGAAAGCTAATGGTGATAAGAGATTCCTGTACCTTTACTTCATCCTTAGCGGAATCCTCCTGTTGCGGCAACTTGGAAGTATCTAGTACCATATGTTTATCAATTTGTTGTTGCAGTTTCTTGTCTATTGGACGTACCTGGTGTTGATCACCATATTTATTTGGAATATCACAAAAATAATGCACAAACTCACCTTCTCAAGCAACGTCCGAATTTCAACCAGCTTTGCAATCACTGGATGATCACAGACTGATCGCCCTTCTGCTCTGAGAAGCAGATAAAAAACGATAGTTCGGCAGTAACTCAAAAGAAGCATATGCTTCATTTCCATGTAGTTTTTGCCCTCTCTAGTTGCGAAGTTCCCGTCCTCCAACTGTTAACAATAGAGAAATGTAAGTGTTCCGAAGCCACTGCTAAGACGTATTTACCTTCTTTAAGAGGGTTGCACTTTATGTTCCAGCTCGTGCAGCGCCTCCTTTAATTCAGTTAGAAGGCCAACAAGCTCTGGAGCATTACTGTAAACAACGTGAGAATTAACTGACGAACTTGATTTGAGAAGATCGCCTCACCTCATTACCACTTGCAACTTTTCATCCTTGGAAAGAGAGTCAAAATCTTTCTTTACTTTCTCAATGGGTACATCTGATGTTTTGTCTTTGACCTTGTCTTTGACCAACTGATCACTTCGCTCTACGAGTTTCTGTGAATATCATTCGAGATCAATATGTAATATAATCAAAACTGTCTTGTACCTCCAAGGTATCAGTTTCTTCAGGTATGTCGTCATCAGAAACCTGGTCAAAATCTTCCGGTCGATGGCTTTCTGCTATTTTTTGTTGTATTCGTCGAGCTTCATTTTCTTCCAGTGTATTTTGCCTGTTTTTCAACTGGAAAAATAATAAACAGTTAGTGTATCGTGACTATAAGGACATAGTCGGAGTTACTTTTGGCAGCCATGTCATCGAGTTCCTCTTCTCCCATGTCTTCGTCCTCCTGTAACAGACGTTGCATATTATAACTTCAGAAATACCAAGCAGCCGTGTTACCTCATCTTCACTTTCTTCCCCCTGTAGAAAATGAAAACAAACTCTTGTTTTAGACAGCAGAAGAACGAAAATTGACTATCACACCTTCAGATAAAAAACTGGATTTAATTCTTCGTCATCCTCAGAGTCTGTTGAAGATCATTAGCTAAATGAATGTATGCGCAGGAACTGAGTACCTGTTGGCTCCAGTGATAGTTTGTCCCGGTTCTTATGAACTGCAAGCTCAAAAATCAGTTAAAAATCCAACAGAAAAGTCCCTCAACAACTCTCCAACCCAAACAGAGACTCAACTCCTTTAGATTCCCTCCAAACACAATAGATCCATTGCACTAAGACGGCTACGAATTGCACTAGATCAGAATGCAATGGAAGATTTAGCACTAATACAATCCTGTGACACACTTAAGGCAAAAGAAACCCGCAAATTCCACCCTTAAACAAATAATCAACTCGAAAATTTTCTTCTCAAATACAATAACTTCACTCCAAAGTCAAACTTCAAACTTTATACAGAACTTCAAAGATGGGATTCAAGCCTAGTGAGTCAACTAAATACATCAACTACTCATCCAAGGCCAAGATTCTTCCCTGCTCCACACTCAAATTGAAACTGAAACTAAAACTAAAAAAGGATATAAGTCCCACTAAAAAAAAAACCTTTCAAAGTTTTGAGGATGGAGTCCTTAACTCACATTCTTTTATATTGCCTCTGCTTAAATACTCATTAACCTGTTAAAAATTAATTAATTTTTTAACCTTTTCTCACACTTATTTTTATTCATAATACAATTGTATTGTCCTGGACACTAAAACACTCTAAAATACCAGGGAGTGGTTTTTGGAATAATGAGGGCATTAGATAAAGCCCAAAGGACTAAATCCCTAATGAATAATGAATAAAAGATGTACCCCCAAGATTGTAAAGTTTTCTTACAATTTTACACTTTTTTTGTTGTTGATGTGAGATCTCATAGTTGATGTAAATATCCCACTAATTTGTTTATGAACTTTGAGAAATTTTTTTTTCTTCTTGCACATTTTTTATTATTGCGAAAGTTTTCGTATATTATTGACATTCATAGTTAATTTGATGATGGTTGCATGACATATTACACCTTTAAATTAAGATGTTAATTTGGGCACTCTCTCTTTAAGATAAATATGAAATTTGTCTAAGTACCTGATTATTCTCTCTCTACACAAAGTTAATGTCCTAAAACTACTCTCTCTCTCTAACTTTTAGTGCATGCTAGCCCCAAGAGTTAATTTTTTCGAGGAGGGGGCCTAGGGTTTGTGCCCTCATGTACTTAAATAATATGGAGAAAGCAAGTATGAGAATGTCTAAGTTAGAGGCTGAGCCTAGCCTGGCCACTAATTTCAGCTGTCTTGGACTGGACTCGCTCTTCTCAAGGCCTTGTGCCTCTACTCTCCTGAAGCATGCTAGTGCTCATATGTGGGCTAAGTCTCACTACTTGGGTGGAGACTCATGCTCCTCCCTAGCTAGTGGAGTCTTCAACTTGACAATGTCATAATTCACTGTTGTGGATGAGTCTAAGGCTCATTTAAACTAAGTTCGGGCTAAGTTAGAACTCTCAACGGTGTTATCATGGACATGTGATTGCTGAGCAATCGAGTGAGATGAAAGAGTCATGGTTGACTAGTCTTACTAGTGTTGATGAAATGAGAGCTTGTAGCTCTTAACCAAATGGGAAGTTTGGAGAAGGACTAACTTCCTACTCGAGATGACTCAATGATCGATAAGGGTGAAGACTAACTCAGAACTTGAAGGGTCAAAACATATCTTCCAGAGACTAAAGGAACTAAGAGTGATTAAGGTACTACCTTGACCAATGTGGTCCAGAAGTCAAAAGGTGTAATGTGCATAAGCACACTACGAGTTAGACTTAGTGAAAGCGAAGTCTAGAATATGTGAACTTGAACTCAAAAGTTGAAAATGAAGAGTCTAATGAGAAAGATATTGAATGGCAATGACAAGTTTGTCTTGTCATGAGGACAACGTGAGCGTGTGGCTCAGGCCTTCAAGCTTAGTGTGAGTCTCATGCTCGCAGGTGGATGATAAAGCAGTGACTTTTTGGGTTTGTCCTCACTACGGTTCTAACTTAGTATGTGTTGTGATTGTGATGACTAAGATGACCCTAGGTGAGTTGTACCTTAAGGTACCTTACCTCATCATGACCCTTTAACCCTCAGATGTTGCAGAAGTGTGTAAGGTAGAAATAGGGAGACTGCTAGGCCCTTGATGTACCTTAGTGCACGAAACACCTTGAAGTGAGGAGGGTACAAGCCCTCTTAATTTAAGTATGCTTTTGACAATTGGAGTTCACTAATTGGGATGGTACAACTACTTGGAATGATCATCCTAATCTATGCTGGATGCACATGTGACGAGGGTGGGGTCTATGGGTTCAAGTCCAAGACTCTAGTGCTTGAAGTGGTGAGGGTTGGGACTGGGTAATTGGTCCCTAACCCTTGTGTGATTCAAAAGTTGGAGGTGAATTGAAATTGAAGCAAAGGTGAAGTTGGTGTTGTGAAATTGAAAAAGCTTGATAGGGTGAAATATAACTTAAAATATTTTTTAAAAAAGAAATGTGTGTAACATAACATCCCAACAGCTTAAATTCACTTAGATTCATCATTTGTATTTATTCTGCATCCTTGCTCTCATCTTTTGTTCATAAATTCTCTTTTTAAAATTTATTTATATTATTTAAAAAATATTTTTTAACAACTTTTTTTAAAGAATTTGTTTAGTATTTTCTTACATTCATTTGAGTTTTTCACTAATTTTCAATTTGAAAAAGAAATTCATTCTCAAAATTGGTATATATGATCTTTTCTTAGATTTTTTATTCTTTTCGAATTTCATATCCATGCTTTGTTATTTTTATTCTCACATTCTGAAATATTTCTACTCAAAAAATTAATATTTTTGATCTTTTTTTTTGTTAAAATTTTTTTTCTAAGATTTCCCCTTATGAAATCCTCATCCATCTTTAATAGTACTATTGATCTTTTCTTCATTCGAGATTATCCTAAGAAATCTTAAGTTACTTTTCATGGTGTTACTTTATTATTTTTAAGATATCCTTATGGAACCTTAATCTTCTTGTTTTAAAAATGATGCCCTATCATTTTCAAAATTCCCTTATGAAAATTCACAATTTTTTATTTAACAAAAGTTCTATTAGTCCTTTCTCTTTCTGAGATTCTTTTATAAAATCTTTGATTTCTTTTGTTAATGGTGTTAACTTTGTTATTTTGAAATTCTTTTGGGAAATCTTCAATTTTCTTTTTTTTGCAAAAGCTCTACTAGCCTTTGCTTTTTTTGAGATTTCTTTATATTTACATATTCCAAAGTTTTAAAATCTTATTAAAAATACTTGGTGCATTTTTATATTCTTTCAAGTTGATTGAAATGTCTTTCTTAATCAGAAAAGATACTTTTTTTGAATTGTTTTTTGTTGTTTCATTTGCAAAAAGAATTTATTAAGCTTTTTCTTTTATCTTTATGTTTTATATTGTTTTTGATGATGAAACTCTTTTTTTTTTGCATTCTTGTCAAATCTCCTAGAATTGTTTTTAATTCTTTTTTATTTGTTGTTTTTTTATTTTTTATTTTTTAATTTATTTTTACTTATTTTTCCTTTTTCTTATTTATTATTTTTATTATGACCTTTAAGTACTTATATTTTACATCAAACTGCTTCAGATGTGATTTGAGATGTCTATATATTTCTTTGGTGTAAGCAACCAAAGGGAACGACTCGAAAGACGATTCGTTGGGGTTCAAATATAAAGGAAAAGGGCCTATGAACAAGAGTGCACCCCCTTTTCCAATCAATTAAGGGTCTTGGGATATTTGGAGTTAAGCGTCCTTGGGTTTGAATAGTACTAGGCTGGGTGACCTCCCGGAAAGTCCAAACTTAGGAGCTTACATTTGGTATCAGAGGGGGTCTCGGGTCCGACTCTGTTGGTTGGCTAGGGGAATCGCACCACAAGTTGATTGACATCTGGCTGGTCTAGTTTGCTCCCGCTGGGCTCGACCCGAGGGGTAGGGTGTCAAGAGAGCGGGGTCCGACTCTGTTGGTTAGCTAGGGGAATCGCACCACAAGTTGATTGACATCTGGCTGGTCCAGTTTGCTCCCGCTGGGCTCGACCCGAGGGGTAGGGTGTCAAGAGAGCGGGGCTCTCGGGAGAGCTACAGCTCTCAGCTTGCAGGGAAGCGTGGTGGATTGTAAGCAACCAAAGGGAACGACTCGAAAGACGATCCATTGGGGTTCAAATATAGAGGGAAAGGGCCCATGAACAAGAGTGCACCCTTTTTTCCAATCGGTTAAGGGTCTTGGGATATTTGGAGTTAAGCGTCCTTGGGTTTGAATAGTACTGGGCTGGGTGACCTCCCGGGAAGTCTAAACTTAGGAGCTTACATCTGGATCCTTTAAATTTTCATATGTATTATGGCTTCTTCATGTACACACTTAAAAAACTCTAGATTGAAGTAGCACAAAGTGCTTGTGGATGCCTGTCCTACACTGAGGGTGTGTAAAACACAGGTAATATCTCATATATATCAAGGGGCTTTGTTACATTTCAAGGCTCCCAAGTTGGAAGATTTTGATTCAGAATTTTCCAATTGAGTGTTTCAATAGTAGTGTATGTATACCCTATCCCAAGTAGCATTGGAAGGATGTGATCATGTTAAAAGGTAGTGAAGTTGAGTTAGTTGCAACATTGCAAGTTACTTCACATGAATATGAATCTTGATATGGAGGAGCTACTGTTGGGCTGCCCACTGCTTAAGAAATTTAGCATTTTCCTGAAAGCCAAAGCAGAATTCCAAGTCTTGGGGTGTGATCCTGATGATCCAAGTTCTGATCGATATCAATGGCAGACTACATGTAGCTAGGAGTCTTCAAACTTTCAAAGGATCATAGGCTGCTTACGTACACTATAGAGTTAATAAAGTGAGATCTTCATTGTTTTTGATAAACACTTGGATTAGGTTGAATGGTCGGAGGAGGGACAGTCCCTTGTATTACTCTCCTAGTGATGGCACCTCAACGCTATATCTATAGGTTTGTGGTGTAGTTGTTTTTGGATTTCTTGT